ACGATGGTCCCCATGTGTCTATGATCCAGTAAGAGATTCAATGAATCATCTTTCATGTTTATTCATACAGCTGTATTCCCCTGGCACTTGGGCTGTACTATATATACAGCAAATGATAAAAACAATTGGTCGTTTCGTTACAGCATGGACCTGCAGCTTGGCTAGGAAGAGGTAATAGTTATCTACAATATCCAAGTGCTCTTTTGATACATGAGCAGTATAAAATTACATTTAACTTGTACATCATGTTGTGTAATTGATATTTCAATATGTACTACTTACTCTCTCGTATATATCCAGAACCTCTTGTTCTGTTATGGGATGTTCATGTAAAATCACTTCCTGTCTTCTTTGAAGGGTGAAGTGCAGTGGTAGAGCTTCAATCGAGCCTGCCCAGTCATACACTTCCTGTCATTCACATAGACCAAAACAGTATTTCAATATAAATATGTATAATATCAAACTAGTAACAAGTGCCAGCAGATTAAAAGGGCAAGGTAAAAAAAAAATGCGGTACATACATTTGATAAACTTTAAAAGTTGGAAACTCAAATGTGAAAGTGGCTAGAAGCAGAGCTTTGTTTTGCCACAGATTGAAGAGTTTTCAACTTTGACTAAAATGGTTATATCCCTGCATGTGTCTCTTCACACAAATTCTTTTACATTACTGTTCTGGGGGTTTGCTTAAAATACAAATAGTATTGCACATTATGTACATTAATTAAATTTACTGTAGTTTTTCAGTGTATACCTGGAACAAGGCAGTTCTTTTGAACTTGCGGTGAAATTTGAGGTTGCCAAAGCGAAGAATTATGATGTACCCCTTTTGAGGCTCTGGTGGCACACGATTGGCCCTATCCTCTCTTATCTAAGGAGTCGAAAAACATACCGTCATATTTAGTCATCGCATTTGGGGTACAAAATGATATTAGATACAAATGATATTACAAAAATTACTACTACAAATGCAATACATGTAGATAGAAAAAAATATTTCAAACAAAATTAACATATATACACCTTTGACCCAATTTTTTGGATTCTAAAGTAATGCTCCTCAATACAATCAATCAAAAACCAAAAATATCCTGTTTCATATGATTCCAACGATTGAAGAACTTTTATTTCTCATGTGTAGCAGGCTTTTTCCCTAGTAAGTTTAGAGTTTGTGTTTGTGGCTGAATCAGTCATGTCAGTTTTTCAATCACCTGTACTTTATTGTTCCCTCCTTCCTAGAATGGCTTATTTCAGTATTTTGGTGACTAGTAGGCCAATTGAGCTGAGATGGCCGGCATATCATTATGTATACCTCGAGAGAAATACAGTTTTTAATATTTTTATTTGATACTCTGGGACATACTGTATGTGCTTTGGCATCACAGTCTTGATTCAAATGGCATTTCACTGGCGTGGACTGGTCCTTCTGATAAAGCAAAATAATTTAATCCATTTACAATGAACAGTTGTTGTGTTTTTGGTGGCATAAAAATAGTGACATTGACACAACACTCATGAGTTTTTGCAGAAATCTTTATACCTATATGTAATATATGCCAATTGATGTGAGTTGACACATGAATGTGTATACCTCAAGATAAATACATTGTTTATCAGTTTTATTTGAAACTCATTGCCTTACCCTGTAGGTTTTGACATCATAGTCCTCATCAGTATCATCATCTGATTTTCCTGGCATAGACTGTTCCTTCTGATAAAGCAAAAAAAGGAATGCATAATTATAGAATAAACAATTGTTGTGTTTTGCTGGAATTTATAAAATAGTAACATTAACACAACTGTGAATGTTTATATGTAATATAAAAATCACTGGATTAATAGTTTAGCATTTACCTTCTTGTCACTTGCAAGGGATTGCTTGAGTTCCAACTCCTGCTCTTCTCTTATTTGAACTCTTTCCCTGTCAGAAAAATGCTTTGTTATACCACATGCAGCAGATATAATTTGTCTGTTACACATCAAGAATGTAGAAGCACATTCCTGACTTAACAACAACAACAATAACCGACCCCTTTCAGACAGTTCATATCAGAGACTTGGCTGTTAATGTAACCTAAACAAGGAACACTACATGTCTTTGTGCTAAAGAAAAACCTTACACATTTTCAAGAAAGGACTGGGTGGGTGGAAAGACTGATGCTTTCAATGGAAGGAACAAAACTTGAACCCTGAGCACCCGAAATTTTTTTGAGAACATCACTTCTTTTGTGAGCTCAGCCAGAAATTTTTGGTAGAGATTTCAATAACAAGCATTGCAGTAATAGTGAAATGTTCCATATTAAAATACCTGGTGATCCCTTGGCTCTACTAAGACTAAATTAAACATGTCCTTGACTGCATATTAAAAGCCGTTATGTGTCTTTGTTATGATTAATGTCTCAAAATTTTGGCAAACAGGCACAATAAGTAAGCATGAGCTTAAACTTACCAGCAGGATTTATTTGGTATGCTTACTAGCAGATTTAGCAGGTACAGTGTGTGGTTTGCTACATGACCATTACTGTATTGTAATCTTACCATTCAGTTTTTAGGGCTTGTAGTGATGTTGTCCCTTGTGCTAGGGCATCCCTGACCTCATTAAAGGTGACATTTTTCAGGCTCTCGCCTATGTTAAAAGTTAAATTATGTAAAGGAAACCATACATGTGGAATTAACAACTTAAGCCACTTTCTGGTATTACTAAAAAGAAAAGCTATGAGCATATCATAGTAACTTGAAATGCATGTCCATTTTCCATGTAGCTATAATCTTGTGCAATCTGTTTTCAGCGTTGTGAAAACTGTTTTTTTTTTTTAATTACATATTTCTTTGCATAATTTTCTGCTTGATTGTGTGGAAAATAACTTTCTGTATGTTAATGCACTCAAACTGAATTGTAAGTTAATGTAATTTATTACTAAAATGTGTAACTGCAACTCTTAACAGATGGCCATTAAAGGATAAGGTCACTCCAGAAAGCCTGTTGTCTTTGAATTCACCTATAGCAAGTAAACATTCAGCGTTTCCACCCACCGAAGTTTTAGCCCTTGAAGTGCCTGCTATCCTGAAGAAATTAGTCTTGAAAGATTGGCTTTGGAGGCTGCCATTTTGAAACTGTTTTGGCAGCCAGGCCAGGCATGTTTGGCTCAAAACAGTATGGCTCAAAGGCAGTTAAAAGGCTCTTCGGAAGCTACTTGGACGAAGTCTCCTGAACGGAATGAAAACACAAAAACACGGCCTGGCTGCTGCATACTGTTCCTGAATTTTGGGCTTCTTTGGAGATTAATTTCACAAGGAAAACCTGCACTTTAGAGGCTGAAACTT